AGCTGGAATCTGGAGAAGGAGGCTCCAATGGATGTCTGGCAAAGTGAGTGCAAGCAAGAGAAGCACCAACAACCCTTCCCTCTTCAGTTTTCTCTATGTAGACCTCTAGCAGAAGTTGTGTCCCAGATTAAAAGTGTGCCTCAAGATCTGGATTAAAGGTGTATGTTGATCTGGGACAAAAGTTTGTATCATCCCACCTCAAGATCTGGCTCAAAAGTCTATGTTTTTCCAGCCTCGAGAGCAGGATTAAAGGCTTGTTGTCGTCTTGCCTCAAGATCTCGATCACAGGTGTTCATTCCATTTCTGGATTGTAGTTCATTCCAGATATAGTCAAGTTGACAACTGAGAGTAGCTGTGTCCCCCAAATCCGTGTTGAAACTCAGTTCCACTGTGGTGATACTAAGAAGCCAGGGCTTTGGGAAGCGATTAAATCAGAATGGAGTTGGTGTCTTTGTAAAAGAGGTGAGAGAGAGCTGCATTGAGACTGAGGCTCTGTCTTACAAGAAGTGCCCAGACTCCATCACCACCAGCTCTGCTTGGCATCAGGGCCTCAGACTTGCCAGTCTCTAGAACCATAAAGTCCAGTTACCCCTAACTCCACACACCTAAGGTGTTTTATCATAAAAACAGACAGACATGGTCTTTATTCCCAGCCATTTACCACTCCTCTCTTTCTAATAAAAACAGCTACTTTCTCATTTCTATTATTGTAAATTAGGTTTCTTTTTTTTAAAATCTTTCATGTAAATGAAGCCACATGCTTTTGTGCTTGGTCTTCTTTTGTTTAGTATAATAATGAGTTTGAATCATGCCATCCTGTGATCAATAGCTCAGGGCTTTTTCTTATGACATAGTAGAATGTACTATGAATATACCATAATTAGTTCTTCCATTCCTCTGCTCATGGATTGTTCTTGGGTAGCTTTCTTTGTGATCATTCTTACTTCTCAGGTTAATATCTAGAAACAGTCTTGCTGGGATATAAATTTGTTTATATTTATGAGAAACTTTGAGACAGTTTTCCCAGCTACATGGGACTCAATAAGACTTCAATATTCTCTGCTGTGTTGTGTTTAATTGTGAGTGTCTTTGGACTTTTCCCTTTTTAATGCATAGAGAGTTAAGCTTTGGACTGTATGCATAATTCAAAAGAGTAGAGTTCATAATTAACTCTGAGGAAAGTGTTCTTCTCAAGCAACTGGCTGGAGCGAGCAGGAAATGTGGAGGAGGATAAAACAGGTGTGCATGACTAAAGAATAATCATCCCTCTCCATGCTTTATCTGCCACAATAACACACAGACACACACAGACACAGACACACACACACACACACATACACACACACACTGTTTCTCATAGTCTTGACTGGTAAGACCACATCAGACAGAATTAATTAGAATATTTTTAAGTTCTGCAGAAGGCTGGGAATGGACTTGTTCTACAGCTTGGAACCCAACACCCTACTTAGTGTTCTGCGGTTAGTTACAGATAGTTTTACACTCTTAAAGCAAGGTCAACAGTCTTAGCTTTGTACCCTCAGACTACTGCAGGTGGCAAGGCAGCCTGCTAATGCTTGCACTGATGTCAGGCAGGTCTATCTCTTTGGAGGCTCCTGTAGAAATGTTTGGAAGAATAAATCAAGAGATGGATTTTGATTTTCATATTTCTGGTGACTCACTGACATGAAGTGCTTTTTAATACACATTTTTTAGCCAGCTATCTTTTCTTTTGTGAAGTGTCTGTTCAAATGTTTTGCCGATTTCTCTGTTTAAGCAGCGTAGTTTTGTTTATTAGTAACTTCCACATGCGTTACTTTATATGCACTTTCTTTGTCAAATGGATTGAAAGTCTTTTCTGTGGCTGCTCACGTGACATCTTCTGATGAGCACATCGGAATTTTCATAAAGACTAATGATCGCTATGTATGGCTTCTCGCAGCTTTAGGTATGGAGGAAGCCTTTCCGGTCCTGTTGTGTAGCACCTTTGCCTGTACGACGTTGTGAAGTCAATGCACGGCTTTTGAGGAAGTTTGATAAGTATTACGGCACATCTGTGTTTAACTTCTCTGTGTGGTGGGAGGTCTTTGTTTTTCATACGGCTATCCGGTCTGTTCACCACTTTGTTCAGACTTCTCCTTTCTCCATGGAATTGTTGTGGTGTGGGGCATTTGTTGAAAATCAATTGTTAAAATACTTGTGGTTCGAAGTCTGGACTCCGGTCTGTTCCCTTGACCTATTTATCCATCCTCACGCTCTTCCATGTTCTCTTGACTGGTTTCAGTTTGTTCTGCCCTCCTCTGGATGGATACTTTTTTCCTTTTTTTGGGTCTTATAAGCCAGACTGATCGTTAGTGTTCTTACATTAAACAAGAACAACAAGAACGACAAACAATCAAATAACCAAACAAAAACTCACCAGCCTTTATATGGCTGTTGGCAAAATTAAGCAATCTAATACACATTTTAAAAGTATATTGTAGGCTGGGGTTACGATTCAGTGGTAGAACATCTACCTAGCATGCACAAGGCCCTGGGTTTGATCCTCAATACTGCCAAATAAGTACATTATAATTCTGTAGCATCATCTGTACATTTAGAATGTGACTTGTGCTCGTTTCAGTCTTCACTGTCTTCAAGCTTAAAGATGTGTTTTCATGCTTGTTTGTTTGTTCATGCATGTTTGCTCCATGTGGGCCCTCTTAGATAATGGGGTGGGAGCGAGAGTCCTGTTGACTTAAAAAAGTAAAAACAAAACAAAGATCCAAAGCAACTGAAAGGGTATCCAACACCTGTTTTTCACCCATTTGCCGGAGGGCACAGCTAGCACTATTGAGAAGTCTTTCTCCTGCCCTCTGGTGGTGTTCAAAAGATCTGGAGTACTAGACATCTAATACTTTGTCCTTCTGGATGTTTCTGGCGCCATCTTTCCCACTGAGGCTTTCTTTGTCACAGCAGCTATGCTTTGCAGAATGATCTTTGTTCTCTCCACCCACCAATCAATAACATTTTAAACTGTTTGAATATTTACCACAGGACTATCTGTCTTCCAAGTTTGGATGGAGCTTCTCCGAGAGATTTTTCCTTAGGGTTAAAATGGTGATAAGGAGAAAGGTTGGAAATTGGAACCTTTCTTTTTACTCAAACCAAGACAAGCTAAACAATAATTCTTATCCTCTTCAGTCATCTAAAGCACACCAGGGATGCGAGAGGAAGGGAGAAACTGTGATTCCTTCTCACATGGACCCACAAAACTGTAGTATAACCCCCCCCATTAGCTTTAAATTTTATCATTAAACCAAGTATCTTACATTCACTAAAATGTTTGCCGAATTAAATCTATTACAAGTAAATGCTCATATTATGCTAAAGACACCAACAGGTCTATGTGTAGCCTTTCTGCTATATGCATACATAAAATCACATTTACCAGATGGTCAATAATTACCAGGACATTATAGCACAAACCCTTTATGTATTGATTAACTAGCTGATAGTTTGGACACACTTCAATGAGATCATTGGATGACTCAGATGGCCTTTGTAAAAGTGTGCTCTTGCCTTTCCACTGGCTTTCTGGAGATAACAGTTAAGAATTCTTCTGAACCTTTCTTTGTATCCTTGTCTTCGGGATTTGTGCTGTCTTCCTTGGCGAAAATGAGGAGCTCTTTAAGTCCTTGCAAGTAGTAAACGTTCTCAAGGGAATTCAAAATGGCCGCATTTCCTCTGAAGCTCTGCCCCATTGCAGTCAGTGCTCTGATGCCCCAGAGAGGGAGAGCTGACTGAACAATGCTTTCAAGTTCAACCAGTCTTTTCAGATGATCTACCACTGTGAAGAAACCATCTTCAGGACTGACTAACTTCAGCTTAGCAAGCTGCTTCTTAATTCCTTTTAGTTTTGGGGAGGGAAATAACAGAATTGTCTATTAAATCTTGAAAGTTAAAATCCAAGTGGGTCCTGGGGAGTAAATCTTCGTACTTGGGGGACTGAAGTAGGAAAGGTCACACATTTGTGTCCAGTCTGGTGTGTGCAGCAAGCTCCAGACAGGGCTAGGTAGCGAAATCCTTTCTAGGACACAAAAACAAAACCAAACTGAAGAGAAACACAGACAAAATATCTGAAAATTAAGTGGTATATTCTGGAGGAGGAAGAGAAGGAGAAGGGGGAGGAGGAGGAGGAGGAGGAGGAGGAGGAGGAGGAGGAAGAGGAGGAAGAGGAGGAGGAGGGGGAGGAGAAATAGGAGGAGCAGGTGAAAGAAAAATCAAAAAGAAAGAAGTATAAAAGAAAGGAAGGACGGAAGGAAGGAAGGGAGGAAGGAAGGGAGGAAGAAAGAAAGAAAGAAAGAAAGAAAGAAAGAAAGAAAGAAAGAAAGGATAGAAAGAAAGAAGGAAAGAACCCCAGAGTAATGTGGGACACTGGTATAAACTGGTAAAGTTCTTGAGTGAAATATTGCAGATGGAAAACTATCACCCTTAGAACTGGTCAGGGAAGTCCTCATTGCTGGTGCTTGGCCGTTACTGCGGGGCTGTGTGTAAGAGCTTTGATGTTGTCCTAAGGACCCTGCCTTCTTGCAACACTTTTCTAAGTCACTGTGAAAACCACACAACGGTTAATTGCCTAAACAGACTCTGAATATCTCAGGTTTCACTTTGCACCCTGAAGGTTGTCACAGCAGTAGAGCCCCTCCCCTGAGATTTAAGTTTTCTTATAACATTTTCTGCTTAGGTTTTCCAAATTCAACACTAAGGTCTCCTATTTCCAGAGACATAAAAGTTAGCAACTCCTTTCCTGCTCTCATTCTCCCAAGCCTGAACAGAACGGCCAAGATCCTTAGTAGAGAAAGACCCCCACCAGCCACAGAACAGTATCCAGGCTACATCAGAGTAAGTGGTGGCTGCACTGACCGCGGGTGGCGGGGCAGGGGGGTTCAGAGGCGGGGTTTGGCAAACTCAGGGGACAAGGCTTGGCGAGCTCAGGAGGCGGGGTAATTAACAGAAAATTAGCCTGAAAGAGGGCGGTGCTAGCGCCAGTCCTCTTCCTGAAAAGTCCCCGAAGTGTGCAGGCTCCGCAGGACGGCTTGCAGCGCTTCTCCCTGGATTCAGGTGGGTGCAAGACAGGGGTACTGCGCGAGGCCGCGGTGCTGCTCCCAGGCTAGGAGGGGGTGGTGGGTGCAAGGGGCCGGTGGAAGGCAGGTGTAAGGCTAGAAAGTGGCTGTACCCGTTTGAAAAGCGTTTGTTCCCTTTAACTGATTAAATGTCCCTCCCATCTTTTTGTGGCCTGCTCTAAAAGAGAACTGTGCATTTCTGTTCTTGCATTAAAATTTCCTTTCTCAAACTCCGAGAAGAAACTTGGGAGCACGTGTCTTTTCATGTTTAAGAGATAGTTTTCTTATTTCTTATTTTCAAGCCCTTTGAAAGGCTCTCTTGATCTTGAGGGGAGGAAAAAAAAATACATGCAAGTCCTAGCAAGATGAGAAGTCATTGGGGTTTCAGCAACTTTTGTCCGTTCCTAGGGAGTAAAACCCTACAGTGTTCCGGTGACTTGGACATTCAGGCCTTTGAAACTTGTCGGAAAGCTGTTTGCTTTTCTTTTTCTCCTTGGGTAGGCAAGAGAAATCTCTTGAAGTCTTTACAATAGTACTTTTGATGTCATGTGACTTACAAACTTGGTAGAGCATGCTCCGGTTGTGACTGCAACCAGAAGATCCAAGAGTTGAGAGTGTAGCCCTTGGGAGGCTGCTCCCGGGAGCCACCCTCCCCTCTGGCCACCCTCCCCTCTGTCTGGCTGCACTGAGGCTGCAGGGAAGGTACCTGGGAATCTGATCCTCCGTTGCAGTTTTTCTGTCCTCCCAACAAATGTGGTTGCTGCTTTCAGTTGGTTCAAAATTGAAGAGTCATGGCCTTGTGGCTGTGTGCCCAGATTTTCCATGTTTCACAATACCGATGCAAAGAAAGCAAACAGTTTTGAGAAGAAGAGAACTTTGCTTTTCTTGGCCGAGGGCCCACGAGGAGAAAGAGGAGTGTTTCTCAACTGGAGATAGCACCAGGGCAAAAATATGGCAACAGGAGTTACAGGAGAAGCCTCTAGGAGTTGAGATAACAGCACCCCACAGTTCCCAGTGTACAGAGTAGAGAGTTCAGGAATTACAGGTCAAGGACGGGGCTCCAGCCTGTGGGGTCTCCAATCTCCACTGTGCTACCTGGCCTTATTCATACCCTACCCACACTTCCTTTCTTAAAAGTAGAGGAGAATTGTTTCTGTATTGGAGTCTTTCATCCAAGCTGTTTCCAGTCAACTGGCTGACATCCCTTTGCTCTCTTCTGACAGGAATCCTGGGTAGATGAAGAGAACCTTGTGTGGTGGTGGCAGTCCCAGGAGAGCACCTAGGGCTCAGAGGATGGACTAGCAGGCTAGCAGGCATGTAGCTACAAACACTTTGGAAAGCAGAGCCCCACTGTTTCAGGCTCTCCAGGGGTGGATGGGTGGGGGGGGGTTTAGCCATCAGTATCCTGAGGCTTCACACTTGGTAGCTTTCGTTGTCTTCAGCTTCTGGCAGTGGTGAGGTGATGACAAGCTGAGCCAGCAGCAGTAGGTAGTACCATCTAGTGCTGCGTCTTCTACAGGCCTCGAGTTCTGGTCCTCTTAGCCCCACAGTGACAGGTGGACAGCTCTAGGGTCAAGGGTAAGAGGGTCCTCAGCCTTGACAGGGGTTAGTGTTCTAGCTTCTGGGCTTGGAGTTGGGAGTCTAGACATTTAGCAGCTCCTGGCAAGTCTTTCTGAGTTCAGTATCTGGAGTTTCTGCCTTTGGCGTTTGTCTTTGTCACCTCTGCTTCACATCGTTCCTGCCCCAGCTGTCCCTAGCACCCCTCCACTTTCCTCCCATGGCTACTGACCCGCTGACCTTGGGACTCAGTCCTTGGCTTATCAGGCAGGCCACTGCGCTAATGGTGAAGAGCACACGCCATCAAGAAAGTGGGTGTGATGATGTAGGCTTGTAACCCCAGCGCTTGGGAGGCTGGGGCAGGAGTGGGGTGAGTTTGAGGCTAATCTGGGCTACATTGTGAGACTCTGTCTCAAAAGATCACACACACACACACACACACACACACTATATATATATATATGTATATATATATATATATATAAGTGAGTTTATATATATATATATAAAATGGCAGGTTACTCAAGAGAAGGCTTTTGATGCCTCTATACCAGGAAGCAACACAGAAGGGGCCTCTATATTGGCTTACAAAGTGATCCAGAAAAGGAATGTTGGCACAGACCATAGTGGGCATTCATAAACGAAGGGTTGTGTTCACACCCACTGTGGTACAGGCCCTCATGCAAATGAGAAGCTGCGTTTGCACCAGTCACAGCAGTCCACATGTGATAGGCCTGTTCACCAGTTTAGCTCCCGTTGGGCTCCCCTCTCATCTGTGGAAAAGGTTTCGAGGTTTCCAGGATTCACCCAGCTGGTGATGACGAAGCATCTGGTGCAGCCATGGCTGGGACAAGGCCTTCAGGAGCCAGCGATGTGCACTGGTAGCAAGCAACTGTGGTACTATGTTGCTTACTTGAGGTGTCCATAAAGTACTCAGATGCAGATGCTGGCATGACAGTACTCCTTCTGGGTGATTGGCTGATGGTCTTGTGCTGCAGGCAGCCTGGGAAGTCTACAGACGCCAGGAGGGGTTCAAATCACCCCGTCCACCAACACAATTGCTAACATACAAGAAAATGAATATCAGAAGGAGTGCTTACAGTAGGGGCTTACTAAAATTAATAATGATGCTAATATTGTTTATCAGTGTTTCAATATGCTTAACACCTTAATAGCACTCAAGGGAGAGGTGGGTCCCCCACTTGTCTTACAGGGAGCTCTGGTATAACAAGCCTTTTGAAAACCCTTCTATTACATCCTTACTGGTCACTACCATGGTAGGAGGGTCTTTATCAAGCACTCACCAGGCGCTGGCTATTATCAAAGTCCTTCACAGTCACTTAGTGCATAAAAAAATATCCTCTGAGGGAGGATTGCCCAGTATCATTTTTTAGGGTGTGGTGGTGCACACCTGTAATCTGAACTTCAGAGGTTGAGGCAGGAGGATCAGGAGTACAGGGCCAGCAGGGGCTACATAGAAAAACCTGTTTTACAGGTATGATAGCTCAGTTAATTTGTACCTAGTAAGTGGTCTGTTGAAATCTGCCTGGCTCCAGGCTATTTCCAGAGTCTGTGTGAACTCGAGATCCCTGTGTTCCTTCAGGGCATAGCCAGCTCCACACCGTGGGACTGGGCGAGATGCCAGTCAAGATAAGGGTAGTGGAAGGGATGGATGATTACAGGAAAATTCATCCCTGTAATTATGTGTGTCTCATGTAATCTATGACCAAATACCCCATTCCCTAAATTTTATCTGTCTACCTATCATGCAATTTATGATCAAATACCCGACTCCTTGATTTTCCCATCCATCCATCCATCCATCCATCCATCCATCCATCCATCATCTATCTATCTATCTATCTATCTATCTATCTATCTATCATCTATCTATCTTCCTACCTACTAACCTACCTATCCTGGACACTTCCCTAACAGCAAGCTTTCAGTGAGTTTGTTTTCTTCATTACAGAGCCTTGCCATGATTCTGGTTTCAATTAGGTATAGCAGGCTCAGGACAAAGACAAAAGATTCAGAATTATATCCCCTTCCTTTATGTGGTCAGTGCTGCCTATTTCTCAGTGTTCTCACCCTTACAATCCATGATATGATTCCCCTATACCTGAGAAGTAAGAGATGTCTGAGAGAGGAGGCTCATGGGCCCATGGTGTAGACAGAAGAGGGACTTGGTGCTGGCCGCTCTCCCAGAATCACAAGCCTAATGAGTTCGCCCCCATCTCTGGCAACCAAGCAACACCAGTGCCAGCTTCATGTGTACGGTTTGCAGATGCAGAAGCCCCTCACTGCCCTTTCTTTCCAACCACTGACACTCTGCATTTTCCCACTGTTCTGGAAGGTTCCTGATTTTTCTCTCCTTCTCCACCACTGATTTTCATCATGCTGATCACAAAACAACTACCACCACCACCACCACCATCACCAAAACCTTTCTGAACTTTTTGTTCCAGCACTAAAATAAGTTTTGTTCTGGGAATGATCACAGAGGCTCTTATTTTGAAGGTTTTTAAATAGCAGAATTTTCTACTTGATAAACTTCCTGAGTTTTTTTTTTTTTAAATTAAAGTCCTTGTTGTATTTCTTCAGATCTCTGTTCAGAGGCAAGGACCATAGGGATTCTTTATTAAGCTAATTAACTTTACAAGAGCTCTGAAGGATAGGGCATTTTACCATGACTCTTATTCCCCCAGTACCAGAGCAATAGCAGATATATTAAAAACTACGAAAAGTATTATCTTGCACCGAGATAACACACTATGCTTTCAAGAGCATGAACTCGTAGAAGTGGATCAACTCACTGCCATACATGGAATTTAAAAATAATCTAGGGCACGGTGAACCCTTTATTTCATCTAAGTGTAGATAAAAGAGCATAAAAAAATTGCATCTGTGTTGAAGAAGTACTGAAGATTTTCTCCTCACTAGTTTCTAAACAGTTAGGTATAGCCATTTGTGTGGTGCGTACGTGGCATCAGGTGTTACAAATGATGACCAGATGTGTCCTAGTGGCATCCTCTTGTTTCGATGAGACATTCAGACCAAAGACTGACTGGGAAGGAAGGGGTTTGTTTAGCTTATGTTTTTGGATCACAATCTATAACTGAGGGATATCAGGGCGGGGACAGAAGTAGAAGCCATAAAGGAGCTTCTCTCTGTGTGTCTCTCTCTGTCTCTGTCTCTCTATCTCTCCCTCTCTTTCCCTCTGTCTCTCTCCCTTTCTCCCTCTCTTTCCCTCTCCCTCCCCCACTCTCTTTCTCTCTCTCAGCTTTCTTATTCAGCCCAGATCTCCCTGATTAAGGATGGTGAAGCTTATAATGTGCTGGGCCCGCCCACATCGATGAACAGGTCCTCATAGACATGGCCACAGGCCAGTCTGGTTATGAGAGTTATTCAGTTGAGGGTCCCTCTTCCCAGTGAATTTACAGGTCCACAGTAAAACAAAACAAAACAAAGCAAAGCAAAGCAAAGCAAAGCAAAGCAAAGCAAAGCAAAGCA